TGGTTGAACTGGATCATCGAAGGTCAGAAGCAAAGACATTGGTTAATAGAATGGGATTAAATACATAAAGGATATTTGTGTTGTTTAACATTTAATTATTGCAGGTTTGCGTCATATTCTGAGTTGCATTATTTTTATCCATTTTGAAGAATACTGAATCTGTGTTTTTTTTGTGTGAGTGAGATGAATTAATGCATATTCATATTTATTTTAGAACTACAGTAACATCTTCTGATTTCTCAACGTGGGAACAGGAGAGCTGTCAGTCAATAAATTGGGGGGAAAAATGTAACTTTACTTATTTGAAAAAGTAACTCAGATATTCTCTTGTAAATTAAAAAGTAATGCGTTACTTTACTAGTTTCTTGAAAAAAGTAATCTGATTACGTAACTCTCGTTACTTGTAATGAGTTACCCCCAACACTGGTTACAAGTAACCACAACATTTCCAATTTGTCTCATCCTAGGAGTGCTTGGATAATGCTTTCTCATGGCTGCTCGGGATGGCAACCTTTCCTTTACTGCCCACTGCTCAGGAGGATGAGGACGAGGATGATGAAGGCTTGGATGAGACCATGAAAGAAACTACTAAAGAGAAAGAAGAAAAAAAAACAGATCATGATGTTGCTAGGCAGGATGTTGTCAAGGTAACTGGGGTCTAAAGCCGAGAACACACTACACGACTGTCAGGTCGATTATGAATGGATTGGTCTTGATGACGGATCGTGCCCAATCGGACCGGGTCTATTCCAGTTGGGCTCAGTCGCTGTTTACAGTCGGCAGAAAAAGTTGCATAGTATGTGGTATCTAAAGATTATAATCTTAGAATTAAAGAACCAGTCGTTTTCACAAAGATTTTTTAAAACATGTTTAATATTTGCGACTGACACCAGAGATTGCAGCTATACAGAGCAGATGCGTTCACTGTCAAACATCATTCAGCATTCGTTTTGTAATTTTGTCATATTTTTTTCTTGATTGCAAGAAAAATCTCGATAGTTCTTGTTATTTCTTTCTTGACTTTCTTTTAATTCGTTAACACTGCAAATTAAATGGTTTCGTTTTAGAAAATTATAGCCTAAATTATGTCAGTGATTTCTCTAATTTGAAAGATTATCAATAATTATTTTATTTCGATCTGCAGTCTAATAAATGTTAAGAAAAATTTGAATTAGCCTATAGGCCTATCTACGGGCTATTTCCATTTTTTCTCAACTTTTAACTTCTTCAAATTTGTTGTGAAGAATTTTTAAATCAACTTCATAACAAATAGGCTAGGGCGGCTAATGAATTTTCTTCATAACGAATATAGGAACGAATAACCTAAATCATAAATCACGAATATGACGAAATAAAATTATTCTATAAATATATTAATTATATATAATAGTTTTGTGTCAAATGGATGAGGAAATTAGAGTGCCTTGAATTTATTAAGTGATTTTTTATTTCGTTCTAACCGGTAGCCAATCTCGAGTAGCCTAATGTAACGAAAAAATTACCTACCCTTTTTACTTGGAACCAATTCATTTTTAATCCCTGATTTTAGACATACATGAGATAATTAATAAACTGTTGCTGGACTAAACTTTTAAAAATAGGCTAGAAATGTTATAATTAAGGGAATTAAACATAGGCCTAGGCATTTGAAAATACATAAGGAAATGTGTCTACTCACTCAATAATTCCAAAAAAGAAAGAGGAGCATCGGACTTAATGCAAAACATATTCAAAACACATTGCTGTGACATTTATTAGGATCACCAACATAGCAGAAAAAAACTTTTCTGTTAAATTAAGAACATAAGAAAAGTAAAACAGACCTCAATGTTTCAGTAGGTAAAAGTGCACCGGTGTTGTCCGCAGTGTTGTGGGGCAGCAGCTGCGGTTTTTGTGAGTTGTTTGGCAGAATTTGTCCAGTCGTGACATGCCAGTCGTTAAGTGTGTTGTGTAGTGGAGTGACTCAGTCATTAGGTTTGTGCTCCTTTCCGATTGTCAAAGACTAAAATCTGTTCCAGTTGATGGAAACAGTCATTAAGTGTGTTGAGGTCAGTCTTAGAATGTTTCAGCTAGTCATGTAGTGTGTCCCCAGCTTTAGATTGCTTTCTTTCTGCAAAGTTAGTTGCTGCTTATGCAGAATTACTGAAATTTCTGTGTTGCCATCAGGGCTTTCTGAAAATGCAGGGTCTTCCTCGGCTGCGGTATATCCTGGAGGTGGTGCGGCCCTCCCCCCGGGTTGTTCTTGATATTCTGGAGGTTCTGATCCGGATCGCTCGCCACTCGACTGCTGCAGCAACACAGGTAGCTGAATTCTGAACCAGTGTTATTTTATACCCTAGTAAGAAAATAATATATTTAAAATATATTTAAGTATTTTTCAAGTCTATTAACATATTTACTGACATACAGTGGGGCAAAAAAGTATTTAGTCAGCCACCAATTGTGCAAGTCCTCCCACTTAAAAAGATGAGAGAGGCCTGTAATTTTCATCATAGGTATACCTCAACTATGAGAGACAAAATGAGGGAAAAAAATCCAGAAAATCACATTGTAGGATTTTTAAAGAATTAATTGGTAAATTCCTCGGTAAAATAAGTATTTGGTCACCTACAAACAAGCAAGATTTCTGGCTCTCACAGACCTGTAACTTCTTCTTTAAGAGGCTCCTCTGTCCTCCACTCGTTACCTGTATTAATGGCATCTGTTTGAATTCGTTATCAGTATAAAAGACACCTGTCCACAACCACAAACAGTCACACTCCAAACTCCACCATGGCCAAGACCAAAGAGCTGTCAAAGGACACCAGAAACAAAATTGTAGACCTGCACCAGGCTGGGAAGACTGAATCTGCAATAGGTAAGCAGCTTGGTGTGAAGAAATCAACTGTGGGAGCAATTATTAGAAAATGGAAGACATACAAGACCACTGATAATCTCCCTCGATCTGGGGCTCCACGCAAGATCTCACCCCGTGGGGTCAAAATGATCCCAGAACCACACTGGGGGACCTAGTGAATGACCTGCAGAGAGCTGGGACCAAAGTAACAAAGGCTACCATCAGTAACACACTGCGTACAAATCCATCAGTATCCTGCAGTACCAGACGTGTCCCCCTGCTTAAGCCAGTACATGTCCAGGCCCATCTGAAGTTTGCTAGAGAGCATTTGGATGATCCAGAAGAGGATTGAGAGAATGTCAAATGGTCAGATGAAACCAAAATAGAAATTTTTGGTAAAAACTCAACTTGTCGTGGTTGGAGGAGAAAGAATGCTGAGTTGCAGCCAAAGAACACCATACCTACTGTGAAGCATGGGGGTGGAAACATCATGCTTTGGGGCTGTTTTTCTGCAAAGGGACCAGGACGACTGATCCGTGTAAACGAAAGAATGAATGGGGCCATGTATCGTGAGATTTTGAGTGAAAACCTCCTTCCATCAGCAAGGGCACTGAAGATGAAACGTGGCTGGGTCTTCCAGCATGACAATGATCCCAAACACACCACCCGGGCAACGAAGGAGTGGCTTCGTAAGAAGAATTTCAAGGTCCTGGAGTGGCCTAGCCAGGCTCCAGATCTCAACCCCATAGAAAATCTTTGGAGGGAGTTGAAAATCCGTGTTGCCCAGCGACAGCCCCAAAACATTACTGCTCTAGAGGAGATCTGCATGGAGGAATGGGCCAAAATACCAGCAACAGTGTGTGAAAACCTTGTGAAGACTTACAGAAAACATTTGACCTCTGTCATTGCCAACAAAGGGTATATAAAAAGTATTGAGATGAAATTTTGTTATTGACCAAATACTTATTTCCCACCATAATTTGCAAATAAATTCTTTAAAAATCCTACAATGTGATTTTCTGGATTTTTTTTTCTCATTTTGTCTCTCATAGTTGAGGTATACCTATGATGAAAATTACAGGCCTCTCTCATCTTTTTAAGTGGGAGAACTTGCACAATTGGTGGCTGACTAAATACTTTTTTCCCCCACTGTATCTCTTGAGACTTGATATAAAAATTATAATTGAACTTTATTTGGAGTACTACTTGTGCACAATGTACATTTCTTAATATTAAGCCTAAAATGTGTTTTAATGTCACCATTTAAGAGGATTGTATGATCTTTGAAATACAGGGCATTTAAAGTGTACCTGAAGTGTACTTGCAATAGTTCCACTTTAGCACAATCAAATATACTTCAGTATATCTTTAGTTGGGCTTGAGCACTACTTCTGCACAATTAAAGTGCATTAAGTACAAAATTAGTTGTTCCAATTTAGCAGATGTTAAGTATACCAGTTTAGTATACCAAACGTACAATAGCAACACTATACAACAATAATAACACTGTTCCGAATCCTCTGCACTTTGCTATTACCTTATGATCTGAACTTCACTGCTACATTGTGTTTTTACTTTAGATTTGGACTAATGATACAATTTACACATTGTTTGCACAAATATTTATGTTGTTTTTCATTAAAATTCAAACCTTTTTCTCGGTCAGATCCTGGACTGTCCGCGGCTAATGAACACTGTGATTGCTGAGTTTCTTCCCTGCTCCTGGGCTCCTGCCACCTCACAGGCTCCATCCTCTTTGTATGGGCTCCCTGTTGCCTTGGCGATGAAGCTGCTTCGTGTTTTAGCAAGTGCTGGGAGGCATGCTTGTGCTAGAATAGTAAGTATCCACTAAATTGTGTAGGTTAACAGTGTCAAGCACCCACTACTTGTGAATAATTATAATACTTATTACAAAATTGACAGGTCTCCCACCCACTTTAGTAAATGAGTATGATGCTTATTAAAACAAGTGACGGGTCTCCTACTCAGATGTCAAACCATATTGTTGTGCTGAAATATGAATATATATATATAGTCTTGCTGTGGGCTACTATGCTTTATTGATGTCAAATATTAATAATTTGGTTAATTAAAGTGGAAAATTAAAGTAAAACTTCCTTAAGGGTGTTCTTATACTCTAAAATTGTACATTTTAGTATATACTATCTGAAAGTCAAGCTTAGCCGTAATTAGTCTGTGCGTCTTAGCTTAACTCTTTAGGAGGGAAGGAGGTTTTGTCACGTTTCGTGGTTGTGGAACCATCAGAGATGTTGCTGGAAGCAGGTGAAGCTCTTCGCTGCAGTACAGAGGCGCTGAGGCTGTTCGCAGTGGCTGCCAGCTACGGACAGGCTTGCAATCTGTACACGTGAGGAGGACCAGCCACTTTACACTTTAAAATACAGTGCAATTTGTGAATATACAGATGTTTGGGAATGTATTCAAAGCATGTGATTGTAGTGACTGACGGTGAGTGTGTGCTTTATTCCAGGGACCTGTATCCTGTGCTGGTGAAGAGGTTGCAGGCTGGGAACTGGTGGTGTGCTTCATCTGAGGCTGTGCTGCCTCTGGAGCTGGACCCAATCAGAGCTCTGCTCGTGCTGCTGACTCAGGTCACTCAAACGGCAGGATGCCATGAAGAACTGCAGAGAGACCTAGTCAGGTGAGACTGCACTTTTACGATGTAACCATTGTAGCAAACAATGTCCAGATGTATCAACAATTGCACATTATATAAATAAAATAATTTATTAAATGTTAATAGAGTGTATGTATTTGATTGCTACTTTTGATCATTTAAGAATTATTATTTCATATATTTTCATATTTCAAAACTATTAATATACACTACCGTTCAAATGTTTATGGGTTGATAGGATTTTTTTACGTTTTTGAAAGAGTTCTCTTATTTTCACTGGATTTGTTTGATTAAAAATGCAGTACTGTTGTGAAATATTATTACAATTTAAAATAACAATTTTCTATTTTAATACATTTTAAAATGAAATTAATTCCTGTGATTGCAAAGTTGCATTTTCAGCGTCATTGCTCCAGTCTTCAATGTCACATTATCCTTCAGAAATCATTCTAATATGCTGATTTGCTGCTCAAGAAACATTTCTTATTATAATCCATGTTGAAAACAGTTCTGCTGCTTAATATTTGATTAATTTTTCGTGATTTTTCAATTAATAGAAAGTTTAAAAGAACAGTATGCATTTGATATTTTTACTGTTATATTATTAATAATGTTTATAAACATTAATAAATATGATTAAATCAGTTTTAGGGGAATATTCATTGACTGTCATGTTTCGAAATACATCATGCTAATACTAATAAAAACTATCATTATTTATCACATTTAATACAATTATTAAACTTAAGTATTTGTTACAAAAATGAATTAAAGATTATGTACTTACATTATACAGTATGTATATATTTAGCTATTTCATACATCCTGCTGGAACAAAAAGGAAAAGGAAAAGTGCACTAATTAAGCGATTTCATGGATTCCTTAAAAAATAACTAGAAAGAGATTTTGAACTATTTTCTGTTTGATGTAGGTTTTACAGTTTGTCAGGAACTGATTGACAGCTGTTAGAGTGTTTTCATTTTTATTAAGAGAAATATGTACCACCATAATTTATGTCTTGCTTTATTAATAATCATATTGCAGTTTCATTTGTGGGCTATACATTTTGGATATGGCCTTGAGCTGATTCTCTGTGTGTATTGTCAGTGCTCAGGGTGCAGAGTGTCCTCCACCTCCTCCGGTTGTGTGGAGTCATGTGACGGGTCTCCAGCCCACTGTCATTAGCTCTCTCAAGGGCTGTGTGAGAGCACTCGATGGCCCAGCTCAAATGTCAAGTGCTCTGATTCTGCTTCCATCCTACCTGCTCTACATGGAGGCGTATTATTCACAGCTCTGTGTACAAGTAGGTATTAATAAGAAAGAAATAAGCATCAAAGCCAGTGTCACACCAGCCCCCCTAAACAAGGTTATTTTAAAAACTGTTCTTATGGAGGCATGTAAAATCTACCTGAAGCTTATATTTAGCCACTTTTAAGTACAATCAATAAATGATTGAGCAATAAATGCATATGGTAGGACATTAGGAGCTCAACTCTCAGAATCAAAGTGGATAATCAGTGGCGTCTTTCAGGTCCAAACTGCCCTTCATTAAAGCTTCTGGTGTGATAAACACCAAAATATGAACGATTATTCCACATTATTCAGTGCATTAAGTCAGATCCCTCAAGGCAAGATAATGCTGTCTGCACAAAATAGCTGCTGATAATGTATCTTCACAAAAAAGCATTTTAAGTTTTTTTTTTACACTGCTAGTAGAAATTGAGTGCCATTCACAACCTTGCGTACTTTTTTCTTTCATATATTTATCCCTTTGGATTATATCAAAATGTAGTTGTGGTAACTTAAACTCTTAGCGCAAATGGGCCTAAAATTACAGATATTTTAAATAATTACCATCCTTTGCATATGTAATGTGAATGATCTGATCTGATTCCTTTGTCAGAGCTCTTTCCAGCCGGTACAGTGTCTACAGGAACTCGAGTCACTAACTTCAGATGTGCTTCTGCCACTGATATCCCATCAGGCCATGCAAAATATAACCAGCTGCTTTAGGTACAGTAAACTCTTACTGAGATTTCCTGAGATTAACTACATCTGTTACTATATATCCTATTAATTCATGTTTTTTTTAAACAAATCAGTTATTAACTTTTAGAAACCTATTGACTGATAGTTTCTGCATTAAGAGAATTAAACATATCCACAACAATATATAATATAATATAATTAGTGCTGTTAAACGATTAATTGCATCCAAAATAAAAGATGTTGTTTACATAATATATGTGTGTGTACTGTGTATGTCTTATGTATATATAAATACACACACATGCATGTATATTTTTAAGAAAATTATGTTTATGTATTAAATATATTTATATATAATATAAATTATATGAATATAAATATATACATGTAAATACGTGTAAATATAAAAAATATATATACTGTATGCATGATTATTTATGTATACAGTACATAATAAATATACACAGTACACACACATATATTATGTAAACAAAAACTTTTATTTTGGATGCGATTAATCACGATTAACCTTATGACAGCACTAAATATAATATAATATAATATAATATAACAATAAAATAAATGTTATATTAATAAAATAATAATTTCAGTGAGATTTTTTTTTGTAAGATTAGTAAAATTAGTAATAATTTTACAATTATAATGACTTTATTTGTGGTGTTACAGTGTACATGCACAATAAAATTACTAATATATGACTGTTAGTTTTTCTTTACAATTTACTTGTTTGCTTAAAGAATCAAGTAAAATATATTTCCTGAATTTCCTGAATTTTATTGCAGGTTTTAGAAGTTTAATTGTATGTTGTATTATTTTTGCCATTAATATAGTCATTGACGCTCATATGGGAAATAACTAACTAAATAAATATAGGATAAGACTATGCTTATATTGTATGTTAGATCTAAGTAACTTGTAATTTAAAGTCTATAGTGATGATTTTAAACCATACAAAAAGAACAGATATTGTATAATTGGAACATATTAGTGATTATGTTCTCTTCTCCTGCTGCAGGTCCAGTTCTATGATCTGTAACCCCCGGCTGAGTGCAGCTGGTGGGGACGTCGTCTCCAGTCTGCCAGGTCTGGACTGCTCGAGGATGAAGACCACCAGCACAATAGCAGGGCTCAACTCCCCTCTGCCTCTCCCTACTGCCCTCCTGTACCTGCTGAACACCATCACCTCCATCCACAAAGGCTTAATAAAGAAGGTAAATTCATTTTGATCTCGAATAAATGAGCTGAGATAAACTTGGTGGTAAATTTCTTTCTCTTGTCTCTCATCAGTTCAGTCCTCTCATCCTCTCGGACTCTGTACTGAGTTATCTGCGGTCTTGTATCGGAGCCATGCCCTCTGTTTCTCACATGAGTGCCTGGATTTTATGCCACGAGCACCACCTGCTGTATCTGCTGCTCAGACTGGCTCACAAGCTGGTAACTGCAACCTCTGCATTTAACAAATTTGCATACATTTTATGCATGTTTACACACACACTCACATACATATATTTATATATAATTTAAATCATAATTGTAATTATTCTAAATAATTATTTAATGATTTTATATATATATATATATATATATATATATATAATATAAATATAAAATGTTGAATATATTTTAATTAGAAAATAAAATGTAGTTTTCTTTTCTTTGCTTAATAAATGCAATACATTGTGATTAATTAATATTAACTATGCTTGAAACTGAAAATATAAGTCTTAAATATGCTGGTTTTATTTGAAAAGCATTCGGTTAGTTAAAGAAATGAATTGTAATGCCTTTTAGTGCTTTTATTGTAACTTAATACTTTTTAGGTTTCAGTTGACCCAGAGGTGGCCAAACATGCCACCTTGTTCCACCAAGTATCGCTGGCTCTAGTGTCCTGGCTGCTGCCTGGCAGTGAATATCAGGCACATGAACTCATGTCTGTCGTGACCTTCAGTCACAGCCTCCTTCCGTAAGTCTCTGATGTTTGCCGTAAAGCTCTAGTTTGTGTCATAGATTGTATGATTACAGTGACTTCAGTCACACAAAATATTCACATTTTGTTATATAGTGGTTCCAGACACATAAGCTAGACCAGGGGTGTCCAAACTCGGTCCTGGAGGACCGGTGTCCTGAAGAGTTTAGCTCCAACCCCAATTAAACACACCTGAACCAGCTAATCAAGCTCTTACTAGGCATACTAGAAACTTAAAGGCAGGTGTTGAGGCAAGTTGGAGCTAAACTCTGCAGGACACCGGCCCTCCAGGACCGAGTTTGGGCACCCCTGAGCTAGACGTTATACATCAACTTGACATCAGTTGTTTAAACGGAAATTTAAAAAAAAAATCTTTTGGAAAGGGCATAATTTGTTAGCAGATGCTTCCTTTTTTTCAAATCTTTTTTTGAGCCACTTTCATATTTTATCATAATTTAATAACTTATGTTAATTGTCATTACAAATGCCACAATTCTTTGATTTTCAATTCTTTGATGTAAGAAAAAAAAGGCAAATTTCATTTTGTTTAACCTTAACTAATAGTTAGAGTTTAAGTGCCTTTAGATCAGAGGGTCTCTAGGAGGCAATTTAATTTAATATGATTGTTAATGTATTTTATGTTGCTTTGATGTACAATGGTTAAAAGTATTAATATTCTTGGACCTCTTCAGACATGTGCTATGAGGACATGTCTTGTTAACTGCACAGGGATAAAAGCTGAAACTCATTGGGAGAGATTAATTACAATAAGTGTCTCCTGTCTAAAATCTGCTCAGGTCTTGGCTGGGTATTTAGATTTGATCTCATATTATTGTGTTCATCATATTCTGATTGTGTACTCATTTTGTTCAGATGTTGACCTCCAGATGTTATTCTCATTTTAAATGAGAGTATCAAACATGCTTTAAATGCGTTTATGGTTAACTTTTCAATGATTCAGTGTAAAAAAAAAAAGAAAAGAAAAGTGAACTCTGAAATCCCAGCTTTATTAAGCTGTAGTTTCACATCATACTCACAAGAGAGCAGCAAACTGCACATTTCAGACAGAATGCAGCAGGTCTGTGCATGGACAGTTGATTCTGGTTTGTTTCTTTAAAAAAAATATTTAATGGTATTCATTTGTCATTTTTTATAATGTATCTATTGTCTGTTTTTTTAAATACACTCCTTCAGAAGTTGGGGTCAGTAAAGACAACTCTTAATGGTTACAACAGATTTGCATTTCAAATAAATACTGCTCTTTTGATCTTTCTATTGATCAAAAAATATTAAACTTGAAAGAATGTTTCTTAAGCATTAAATCAGCATATTACAATGATTTCTGAAGGAAAAAAATCTAACCGATCCCAAACTTAGTAGTATATGTTACAATTTAAGCACTACAAGGATGTACCTTTATGTTTGTGAGAAATATGTTGTTGTCTTGGAAATTAACTGCTGTAATATGACACGTTTTTTTTTTTTACTTAATGTTAGGGAGGGCGTCTGTGGTGAACCAGAGATGGCTGCATTGGCTGAGCTGCAGCTTAAAGACAGGACTTCACCTACCGTTGGTGCTCTGCTGCGTGACGCTCTCCATCATTTGCCCTCCATCCGCGGTTGTTACCTCACCCACCTTGCACACATGGAATCCTCTGTCCTTTCATCCCGTGACCGGTACCTCGGCCGAACGCCTTTTGTCAGCTCTCATCTCCTACCTGAACTTACCGGCCCCTCCCTGCCTTCTGATTGGCCCTTCTTACCGCTCATAAGTCTCTATGAGCGAATGGGGCTGTCAGCTGGTGGTGGGCATCAGGTTGAGTCTCTTCCAGCAGGGTCAGTGCAGTCAGTCACTAACTGCCTTCAATGGCTGCTTGTTCTGGAGAGTTGGCGAGAGCAGGCGCTCACGGCGGTGCCACCAGTGGCAAAGTTAGCCCGGCTAGCCTGTGTCTTTCTGTGCTCCAGTGACCTCTTCCTGGAGCGGCCTGTGCAAGAGCTTACTTGGGTGCTGTTTCGCAGGCTAACACGGCCAGCTCAGCTTGAGGCGCTGGATCTGGGCTCACCACCACCAGGCTTGGCTTCCTTTCATGACCTATACTCGGCTCTGCTGGCGCAGTATGAGGCTGTGTCATTCGGTGACCCACTCTTTGGCTGCTTCATGCTTTTGCCTCTACAGCGGTGCTACAGTGTCACCATGAGGCTGGCTGTTTTTGGAGAACATGTGGGAATGTTGCGATCGCTGGGGGTCCCGCTACAGCAGGTAAGGGGTGTCTTTTTGTCAGGTGACCTACGCACAGATTAGGCGTAATGGAAACATGACTGTACTTTTGTCTTTGCAATTCTGGGCATCTGGAGCTGTGATCCAATTCATACTGAGATTTCAGCTGTAAAGTGCAGTTTACAACATCAGATGATTTGAGTTGGGAAAGTCAAATTTTATTTAAAAAAATGGCTTTAGAATCTGCCAAATTTTCTTAATTGCAGGGATACATGAAATTTGTGTGGTGAATAGTCAGAATTTATTTACTTGTTTTGTTGCCAATATAAAATTAGGCAACATTGTGAATATTGCTAAGAAGATAACCGCAAACGGTTGTTGTTTACAGTGTTTATTACCGTGGCAACTGTCCGAGTTGAACGTGCTTCTTGTGTATTTTGCTTGAAGGAGATTAAAATATCATGCATCTGAAGCTGTAGTTAAATATTGGGAAACAGTGTGTATTATATGTTTATAATTGTTTTAAATGCCGCTTTCTCATTTATGAGAAGGAACCAAGTAGAGGACACATATGCAGTTGCTTTTTTGGTTGATATAATCCTTAGGTGTGTAAATGTATAATTGCCTTTTCATTATTTTTTTTTGTTTTATTTAAATTTGTAGTTAAAATAAATGTATTTTAAAGTTTAGAATTAGACAGCCTATCCACACAGGCTTAAGCCCCGTTCACACCAAGAACGATAACTATAAAGATAATTATATTAGCATCCACACCAGCGGACGATATCGTCCAGATATCCCAGATATCGCTTTTCTAAGCGCGTGCTCGTCTGCCGCTTTAAATTCTCCAGCTGTTAATGTTTGTATCGTTCATCAGCTGGGAAAAAATCGTTTTGAAGGTGATTCCAATGATAGGGTTTCTCTGTGCCTTTATTGTTATCGCTGTGGTGTGGACTGCTATTCTTTAATACTGAGAACGATTTTTAGAACTGTATCTTTATCGTTATCTTTATAGTTATCGTTCTTGGTGTGAACGGGCCTTTACGCTGGTAACTCATCAGTGTTTCCTGGTCAATATAGGCCATATTATTATATATTCTATATTTCTCGTTCTCACTAATTCAAGGTTTTATATGAATAAATCTCTGAATGGAACCAACTGTCTACAGAAAAGTTTCGATGGCATTTTAATTTGATTTGCTAAAGTAGCGTTTATGAGAGGAGCGCTGCTTTGTTTACAGCCGCTACCAGGGAAACCGCAATATTTCTGATGTTCCAAAAGCGCCTCCTACTGGCAGAGAATGAATGTTCATTTTCAATAATCCAGTCTGTAGTTTTTGTTCAGACCAGTGCGAAAATCCACACACATAATCCCGATTTAAATTAATATAATAATTTATACTTCTGACTCACCCCTGGTTTAAATGCTCAATTGTGAGGTTTATCATTTTATCATTTATTTAGTTTTTGTGAAAACCTGTATCTCAACTGTAAATCAGTTGCTATTTCATGGTCTACAACATGAAAGAAAGCCATTATAACATTTACATGAAAAATTTAGAAACATTGGACACAACTATGGGGCACCATTGTACAGCAGCAAGCATAACAAAAAAGGAACCTCAAGGTTGATCTAGGAAAATGTGTGCAAATGTATAGGGCCCCATTCCTATATTTTGCCTGGGGCCCCCAATTCACTAAATCCGCCCCTGCTCCGCAGAAAAAGATTGACATCACTGTCTGTTTGCCCCCACCGATTCGCGCATTTTACGAGAGAGGCGAACACGCAGGTCTATGCAGAAATCATTCAAATCAAACGATAAAGATGCTCTGAAGACAACAAGACACTGCAGGGGTCCAGACTGCGACCATTTTTTCTGCCGGTGCGACAAATTTTTGAGCGGTCGCACTGGCGCGACCACCGCGTTGTCCAACTCATAAGAGCTACCATTTCTTTTGCATTTGAGAAACATCAAACGTCAAATGAAACAAAAGCGAATCTAAAGCGCGCTACGTTTCAGCTGTGCAGCGCGGACCGTTTATCAGCTCGGACCATGACACAAACGAACTTGTCCGAACTCAGAACAGCTTTACTCGGGAGCCAAAGTTGATTTTGCGACACTGTTACTGCACAGATGCAACAGTGCTGCGATATCCAGTGAGAAGCATTCAAATTCTGCACAGAATTCTCTGTTATTAACAGCGCTGACATACATCAGAAAACCAGAAGCGGTAATGCTAACTGTAACCATGCTGTTGTGGTAGAAATATTCAAATGCATTACATAATTCATTTCAGGGTTTGTACAACCTTTTGAGAGAGAAATTCAAGCACTTTTCAATGACTTTCAAGCATTTCACACAACTATATTTCCAGCACTTTAACGCTCTAAAATGATTCAGTTCGAATGTTATTTACTTCTGTAAAATTTAAAAAAATACGTCAAATCACAATTATAACCAGTAGACCGCAGCAGAGGAGCACTTAATGGCTTATTGGCCATTCATTTATACTTTTTCTCTATATTTTGAAATGATAAAATCACTATTATAAAATATCAAATCATCAAGAAATCAGATTTTGTCAGAATTTTACACTTTTTTTGTGTATGAAGTAAGAAAAGTCACAAAGTGCCTTGAAAAACAAACTTTTCTAAATCACACATAATCACTGAAGTTGGTCAGTTCCGTACATTTAATAAGAGTGGAATATATAATTTTTCTATATAAAAATTAGATTTTGCACCTGTTACTGTACTGTTACTGTTGTTAATAAAAGTAAATTTTGTATGCATCGTAACTCAGGCTTAGTGCTTTACTGTCAAATCTGTATAAACAATAAACAAACTAAAAAACGGGATTATTCACATGTCGTTATAGTTGCGCTGCCTCTACTGTCGCGACTCCTAAAAAACTTTTTCATTCCGCGTTGCCCAATCAAGCTCTCGCTGGATCCGCTCCTCTGCTATCAACGAGAGGAACGTCTGTACTTCCTCAACAGGGGGAACAGCCACTTTTTGGTTATTAAAAAAAGGTGCGCTCGTTCAAAACAGTTGCGTTCGATCCCTCGCTGGCTGTGCTGATTTAAATCTGTGTGGATGAACTTAATTTTTAAGGAGGGTAACAGCTTTTTAATGATTATAAAGAGAGTTTACAAATGTGAAATTGAATTTATACAACAGTTTTATACATTTTTTATTTTATACAAAAGTTAATATTAAGTGACTTACATTTTAGGAAACACTGTTGTCTATTTTGCTCTATTTCGTCAACGAAAATATAGTTAAAAAACAAAGTCAGAGCTGAGCCGCTGCGCATCTGTAGTCTTTGACACAGCGCTGTTTAGTTTATGAATGAATCTTTGCATTTGAACAAATCTACACTGCGTTCAATTCTGAAGGGCTCATCCCTATGCCCTAATCCCTTCAAAGCGTTTACCCTCTGGAGTGAGAGCTTCGAAGGGTTGAAGGGTGTAGGGGACCAAACAACTGTTTCTTGAAGTGCCCTTCTGCGCCATCATCACGTGCCCACACGGAGGCGCCGTCATCATGCAAAGAATCTGCGCAAAGGATCATGGGAGCCTGAAGTGTCCATCAGTTGTACCCTTCGAAATCCATCATACTCACCCTCATGTCGTTCCAAACCCGTAAGACCTCCATTCATCTTCGGAACACAAATTAAGATATGTTTGATGCAGTCTGAGAGCTCTCTGAGCCTCCCATAGACAGCAAGGGTACTACCACGATCAAGGTCCAGAAACATAGCAAGGAGATCGGTAAAATAATCTGTAACATGGAACTGTAATTTAATGACGCTATGAGAATAATTTTTGTTGTCTCCTCCGCGTCACCCTAGCGCCATTTGGAGTATCCACTGAATGCAAACAGCGTATGCTATTCTGTGTCAGCTGCACCACGCGGATACGTTTTCTACGTTGTTTGTGCTTTGATTTGAATGTAAAACAACGTATCCTTGTGACGAAGTTGACTCAGAACAGCGGTCTTACGGGTTTGGAACGACATGAGGGTGAGTAATTAATGAGAGAATTTTCATTTTTGGGTGACCTATCCCTTTAATGCCACATTTGTGCTCTATTGTGCCATGCAAAGATTAATTGTTGATGCTGATTTCAGTTGACTGGTAACTTATTCTTCCCGATTGTATCTTATTATTTTAATTTAATTTATTGTTTAGGTTAATTTCTGTCATTGATCAGGTGGTGTCTGTTCCTATTTATTTATTAATTTTTTTAAGTAGGAGCACTAGTGCTTAATTATTTATTAAATAATTCTTCAGTATCACTAATCAATCTTTTTTTTTTTATTAAACACGGGGTCATTAATGATGCTTACATTGTAACGTGCAAATTCACACACAACATATCTTTAATTTGGCCATAATTGCAGGTGCTTGTCTTAATATACAAGAAGGTTTAGAGAAAATATTAAATAAGTTCTTAATAAATGTTATTATAAAATATAAGGTATTTTATTATTAAATACGTCCGAAAGGTCATCTAAAATTACCCTTTCCCCCCCCCCCCTCCCCCCTTTCCAAGCTAGAGTCCCCCCAGTGAATTTCCTGCACTGGTTATAAGTGAACCTCAGAAAACAGTACAAAATAATAAACAAATGCAGTTCATGACCCCTTTATCATTCATAAAATAGAAGTCAGTTGTCAAACTTCCGTTCATTTTCATCTTTGGAATACATATTTTTAATGAAACCAGTTTTCTATCTCTCCAATGATAGTACATTCCACCAAAACTTTGATTCTTCAAGTTCATAAAGAGATCATAAAAGTAATCTCATCTCATGAGTTGGATCTCATGCACAGGTTGCTGGAGTGGAGGGGTTATAACAAATGTCATCAGAGAACAGTTGTAGTTACGAGGCAGAGGGGAAGTTATTTTGATTGAGTTTGCTGCTACATTTTTATTGCAAACCAATTAAAGCGGTCTCCATCTGAAATTTGATTTGTTTGTCCTGTACAGCTGCCTATTCCACTGGAGAAGTTCACGTCCCCCATGGAAGACTCCCTTCCTCTGTTGCGGCTGTATTTTCGAGCACTAGTAACTGGAGCTCTGAAGAGGAGCTGGTGTCCTGTGCTTTATGTGGTGGCTGTTGCCCACCTGAATGCGTTTATCTTCTCCCAGGATGCAGTGGCAGAGGTAAATTACCTGTGCAACAAGACCAGTGTTATTTTAGTATTATTTATTAAAGTATTTATTAATTTATTAATTAGTAATGTGAATTAGCTTTTATTTTTATATTTTCAGTTTTCATTTTTAGTTTTAAAAGTTTTTTTTTAAGCACATCCCATTTTCTTTACTCTAGTTTAAGTTTTAGTAATATTGTTATGGGCTTTTTAAAATTTAATAAATTATACAGTATATATGTGACCCTAGACCACAAAACTGTCTTAAAATGTTTAAGTCACTGGGGTATGTTTTTAGCAATAGCCAAAAAAACATTGTATGTATTGTATTGTACTTCAACTTGGTGTATTGTAACTTCTGTATTTCAGTTACTTGCCAAGGCAAAATTGCAAATTTTAGTTGGTTTTATTTCGAATATTTACTGCATAGTATTTTGAAATCTTTTTTAAAAATAATTTTAGTTTTAAGTAACAGCACCGAACAAGACCAGTGTAACAAAAAAGCATTTAGCAGAATGTTCAAGCTGCTCTTTCCATATAATAAAAATGAATGGTAACCAGAGGCTGCCAAGCTCCAGAATTAAAAGTAGTTAGTGTGACTTGTGCATTATATTCCAAGTCTACTGAAGCAATGCAATTGCCTAATGTGAGGAAAATGCCAAAATTTAAGTTATGCAATTTAAGGTGACAAACCAAATGCACTTTATGCAAATCCACAGACTGGTGTGATTGGGCTCCTGATACAGAATATGATACTATACAGGTGCATCTCAATAAATTAGAATGTCATGGAAAAGTTCATTTATTTCAGTAATTCAACTCAAATTGTGAAACTCGTGTATTAAATAAATTCAATGCACACAGACTAAAGTAGTTTAAGTCTTTGGTTCTTTTAATTGTGATGATTTTGGCTCACATTTAACAAAAAGCCACCAATTCACTAGCTCAACAAATTAGAATACTTCACAAGACCAATAAAAAAAATTTTTTTAGTGAATTGTTGGCCTTCTGGAAAGTATGTTCATTTACTGTACATGTACTCAATACTTGGTAGGGGCTCCTTTTGCTTTAATTACTGCCTCAATTCTGTGTGGCATGGAGGTGATCAGTTTGTGGCACTGCTGAGGTGGTGTGGAAGCCCAGGTTTCTTTGACAGTGGTCTTCAGACTCTAGGGCCTTGGTTTCCAAATGAAATACAAAACTTGCTCTCGTCTGAAAAGAGGACTTTGGACCACTGGGCAGCAGTCCAGTTCTTCTTCTCCTTAGCCCAGGTAAGACGCATCTGATGTTGCCTGTGGTTCAGGAGTGGTTTAACAAGAGGAATACGACAACTGTAGCCAAATTCCTTGACATGTCTGTGTGTGGTGGCTCTTGATGCCTTGACCGCAGCCTCAGTCCATTCCTTGTGAAGGATTTTGCTTGACAATCCTCATAAGACTGTGGTTCTCTCGGTTTGTTGTGCATCTTTTTCTTCCCACACTTTTTCCTTCCACTCAACTTTCTGTTAAATTGCTTGGATACAGCACTCTGTGAACAGCCAGCTTCTTTGGTAATGAATGTTCCCCATGATTGTGTAGCCTAGTGAACCAAACTGAGAGACCATTTTGAAGGCTCAGGAAACTTTTGCAGGTGTTTTGAGTTGATTAGCTGATTGGCATGTCACCATATTCTAATTTGTTGAGATAGTGAATTGGTGGGTTTTTGTTAAATGTGAGCCAAAATCATCACAATTAAAAGAACCAAAGACTTAAACTACTTCAGTCTGTGTGCATTGAATTTATTTAATACACGAGTTTCACAATTTGAGTTGAATTACTGAAATAAATGAACTTTTCCATGACATTCTAATTTATTGAGATGCACCTGTAGACTAGGTGACATTTGAGGCTTTTTTTTTTTTTTTTTACTATAATTTTTATATGCAAGCGCTCTGTCACACAATCCCAAATGGAGTGGTTGGGTTTGAAATATGTCTGAAGAGTGAAGCAAGTGTGATCGATGGTCTCTTAGTTGTCTTATTTTGTCATTGTGCGCTGAGTTATGACCGACTTGACTTACACTCTCTGTAGGAGGTGGAGGCGGCATGTCGGAGCCTGCTGAGAAAGACCTATTACCTGACAGATGAGGTACCATCAGACATTCGCCTCTACCTTAAAGAGACATTCCATTTCCTGGTTTCATTTCAGTGACATGTCTGGTTTCTTTGTTTCTCCAGGTGTTAAAGAACCACCTGCTTCTTTTTCAGCTGCCCCAGCAGAATTCAGAGCTGGGCTTCAGCACCTATGAACAGCTGCCCCCCATTCGTGCCCGCAGGTTGGAAAGCATTGTGGGAACAGAAGTCAAGGGTGGAGAAAAGTGAAAAAGGAAAAATCCTGTCCCACAGTTTTGTATGTGATTTGTAAACTACCATCCTCATATCTGTGGTTTTTGGCCTGTTAGGAACAAGTGGCTACCATAGACTTTAAAATAAACATTTCGTTTCTTGTGGATGTGGTGTGGTTACTTGTGTCCATACAGCTTTTAAAATTTTTTTTTTATATATATATTTTTTATATCCCTATCTGGATGGTAGTTATTTGATATAGGGACTTCAGAAAATTCCAATTTACAGGGGTTAGTCAGTTATTTTATTTCCACCCGATTCTGAAATGTCAGGGGTTTTTCTCCCTCTATCAACAAAATTCCCAGCCAAATTATACTGTTTTTGGACAAACACCAGCATCGTGTGGTCATTTAAATTCTAAGTTTAAAAGCAGGAGTCAATCCAACAGTCGTTTTGGAAATCTTTTTGACCACTGTTAAGTGCTGGACGGTTGCTTTGCACTTTTGTTACAATGGAGGCTTTTATCACAGAAATGTTTGAAATGATTCACATTAATAGTTGAGCTGCCGCCGTACCACATTTAGTGGAAGCCCTTAAGATAATAAAGCAGAGCCAAAAATGGGGCGTACACTATTGAAATGGTCCACAAGGCAGCAACAGTGTGGAATAATATTTGTTATATACAGTATCTCACAGAAGTGAGTACACCCCTCAGATTTTTGTAAATATTTTATTATACCTTTTCATGTGACAACACTGAAGAAATTACACTTTTCTACAATGTAAAGTAGTGAGTGTACAGCTTGTATAACAGTGTAAATTTGCTGTCCCCTCAAAATAACTCAACACACAGCCATGAATGTCTAAATCGCTGGCCACAAAAGTGAGTACACCCCTAAGTGAAAATGTCCAAATTGGGCCCAAAGTGTCAATATTTTGTGCGCCCACCATTATTTTCCAGCACTGCCTTAACCCTCTTGGGCATGGAGTTCACCAGAGCTTCACAGGTTGCCACTGGAGTCCTCTTCCACTCCTCCATGACGACATCATGGAGCTGGTGGATGTTAGAGACCTTGCGCTCCTCCACCTTCCGTTTGAGGATGCCCATGCTTGGCCAATCCATCACCTTTACCGTCATTTCTTCAGTGTTGTCACATGAAAAGATATAATAAAATATTTACAAAAATGTGAGTGGTGTACTCACTTCTGTGAGATATTGTATATATAAAAGTGTATTTGATCATCATACTCCCCAATGTTTAACATGCAGTGTGACCAGGTTTGTAGGATAACAGAACTCTCTCATCTCCCATGAATTACATGTTCTTATTGCAGCATGTTTTATCACTAATCAGTTTTGTTTTACAGACGTCGCTCTGATGAACCTTTGCTGCCAAAATAGTGCTTATGATTACAACTGATGAAAAAATGAGGAAATTCCTTGACATGAATATTAGCATTGAGCCTCTTTTAATTGCATTGATAGTTTTAGGGAATTACAAAGAAGCTTTCAAAGGGTGTTTATTTTTCTTTGATCTCATACTGAGATGAGTCAGAGAGGCATGAGCAACATGCTCCACTTATGTCAGTACAGTTCAAAATATTGCATAATGGGAAACAAATACCATACACTCTTCAGTATACTGAAATTAAAATACCACAAAAATGACTTCTAAATCAACTTTGGAAAATTACTTTGGGCAAATAAAGACAATGGAATATTTATTCTTTCATCGACTCTGACTTGACCTTAATGTCTATGAAAATATGATGGAAAGCTGTGGTTACTGTTTGGTCTTAAAGTTACATTCTCCCTTTAGAGCTTGTAGTATTTTTTTTACTTGTGTTTTACTTCAACAGATTGAGTAAAGAAATTAACCCGAAAAGACTTCCATATAAAAGACGTTGGATTCCCAGAACACACGCCTGTTATGCAATCATCATGGACCAATGGCAGTTTGAAGGTCTTTAGCAACCAGTGTGACACAAGTTTCAGTTTTTCTTTTCTTTCCAACTTTTCTAGAAAGTTCACACTGGTGAACTGTTTCGAACCACAAAACACCTTCGTTTCGGCAGAATTTGGTTCAAAATGTATTTTTCAAAACACTCATTAATTTTGACAAGTCCATAGAAACAAGACCCAATGTACTTTTACATTTTCTGTATTGATTTAAATTACACATTGGGTTTTAGGGTTGAAGGAAATGTCTAAACTTAGCAAAAAATTTACTGGCAGAAAATTACTACTACCCTACCTTTTTTCTTAAAGTGTGCATAATTTTTGCCAACACTTTGAATCCTGTGACTTATTGAGATGTGTGCTATACCTTTTCTAAGCAACTAAACCGCTTTTGCTTGGCGGATGATAACATAAGTGGAAAAAAAACAAACTTGAGACTAGTTTGAGAACTGAGAAGCAGTTCTTATCTTAATATTCATGGTGTTCAGTTCTGTTATCAGTTTTTGTTTGTACATTTGGTACGCAAAATGGTACTTATTTTCTCTGAAAATGTTGGCTGCAATCTTCAGCGTGATCAGTGAAGTCTGATCCTCAAGCCGATTGTTTTTAGTGTTGACCAATGAAGTCAGAATCCCAAGCTAATGACTCTTGTGAGCTGGTTTGTTTTTGTGAATCACAGACATTTAGGAATTATTTGGAGCAGTTTCTCAGTTATGACTCGCATAACTGAACTGCAAGTCATTAATTTCATCATATTCAACTCCGTGAACCAAGAAATGATAGCCTATTATGTTATGTTGTATGGCTTGTGAGACCTAAATCAGTGTAGTTACTGATTTATTGTGCATATTACAATATGTAGTTACAGCAATTATGAGTTTTGTCAGTGGTAGTTTATACAAATAAAGGAACGAATGTAATATATTACCACATTTCAGTTTTTTAACATTTAGCATTGAAATGATCCCAGCATTTGAAAACAGAATTTAATGTCTGTGTTACAAATATTTATTTAAAAGAATGGTTAAGGAACAGGAACTGCTCAATTCCTTCCTCAAAAATATGTCACTTATGCACACAGAGACTTTTGTATATGGACAGAGCACTTTTGTTTTTGCTGTTCTTGCGGCTTCTTCCTCATCTTGGTGTTTAAATGTCATTAGGAATTCAATAAAACTAAAACGAAATACGAAAGAACGGGAAAGGCGACTCTTGTTTGCTTCTTCAGGAATGCTGACTTTTTCTTGCCAGTGAAAGACAATGAAGCCTCCTGTGAGAGCTGTTAATGCTAGTCACACGGTTCAGCTGACATCTGGTCTGCATTATATCACAGGCAGGGGGCACTGAGTTTCACTACGGCTCCTGTAGACAACACAACATCTCAAGTGTATGGCCCACTGTGAGATCCTATTTATCCAAATTTGTTTTTGTCCAGAATCATTTGTGTCGTTTTAAACTTGATGCGACTACAAATTGCTGATGGAAATCTGACTCCATTTACTTGTTTGTGCAATAAGCAAAATGTCAGAGACATGTTTGTTTTCTTAGGATTTTTATTAACATTGAAAAGGATTTTAGGCACTAATGTGTAGTCCATTAAAATACAGAAGCACACTTTCTCCCGACAGAGATGTGCAGTTATAGAGGCTGTGAAATGCACAGGCCTAAACAGCTCTGAAGTTTCTCACGGTTTTACATTACAAACATATAAAATCCCACTGATCGCACCCTGCAGTGTTGTATGCCATCTGTGTGTGTCTTTAGGGCATGTATGACACATGCTAGTGATGATCTATTAGTCTTGTTTATGCTGTGGTGTATTTTAAGGGTGTGACATTTGATTTCAAAGCATTAAAGTCTGAGTGGCTCTAACCAATGAACCACTGACATTTTAGCATCTGTACACAGAAACATGCTTTCTTAAGAGTTTTTCTAAACATTCGTGGATGTTTTGTATTGTAAAAAAAGCTGTCTTTCCAGTGATATTTTCAAGAAAAGGTAGCATATTTTTCCAGTGCTGTCTGTTAGCAAAAGTAACAGCAGCAAATTAAAAACATGAATTCTTAGTATATTGCCAAGAGTTGCGGAAACGTGTTAACAATAAATAAACAGAACAAGACGACAAGGGAAACAATGATGGTGGTATTTATACGCAGTTAAAAATTTCTCAATCCATCAAAAAGTTGTTTGGCTTAGTCAGTCGTTTGTGAAAGCACATAATTACTTTCAATTTTATATAATTTTAATGTAAAAACTAAGTTAGCTCAAATGGATGGCCGTATCTCACAACTAAACAAAATTCAGGGAATGTATGCCTGTGGATATTCATGGTATAATTATTTTTGACCGGATATGAAACAAAAATAACCTTCCAGGACACAGTCTTTTCATTTTTAATTGAGTTTTTGGTATTTTTCTGCGACTTGGTAGTTAATCTAATTACTTATTCCTTCTCATATGCGTGAATGCAGACACAGAGGACCCTTTTGTGTGCCTCTGACTTACATTTTATGGATTTTGTGTGTGTGTGTATGTGTGTGCAGCTGAAATATAAGATGCAAAAAAAAACATGATTTCTGTGTAGTGGTAACAGAGTCCAGATGTGCAGTATTAATAGCAGTGGATGATATTCAGGTTGTGCCCGTAGGCATCTGTAAACGGCCGTCCCTTAGTGTCTACTTACACAAGCTTACAGTTTCCCCACTCAGTCTTTTTATGACAGCTTTTCTCCTGTTCGTGGTTGTCACTTGGATGACCTTCTGTGTAAAAAAAATGTATACTTCATTCTTCAGACTACATTTGTTTATGGGCTCAAAAGTCTGTCTAAAAAGTACAAATCCAACCCATTTTTTCAGGGGATTTGCAGACTAATCACTCCATTTTCAGCATAGTGCCCTTTTTTCAGGGGCTATACAGACACCTTACAAATCTCTACACACAGCAGCTGAGGAAAAACAGACCGTGTAATATGAAGGAGTCAGAGCCCCAGCCTAAAGGAGCTAAATTGGTGTCACCAGGTCATAATGTTATTAGCTGGGATAGTAATTCAGTGAGACTGATTATATTAGACACAGAACATGGTGCCCTGGCAACATCTCAAGCCCTTGACAATACCCACATTGAGCTGGAAGCATGTTGACCGAAGGGGATTCGCTCACAGGTTCTCGCAGTGCAGTTGTTGTAATTGCCTGTTCAACCAATCTT